TGAGTATTTTGGTGCTTGATCTCAAATGCTTAGTGGAGCAGTAGCCTTGACTTCATACAAGTACGAAGTAGAGGTTCTCTCAAGGCTAAGTTCGGCCTTGTCCTAGATACACAGCAAAAGGAATTCAGATAAATGAGGAAAAAATTAAAAACCCAGCTATTAGGCCACTTTATGATGAGAGGGAGATTCGAACTCCCGCCCCCAAAGAGACCAGATTTTGCCTCGAATATCTTGAGACCTTAGTCTGGCGCCTTAGACCGCTCGGCCATCTCACCATGGATAAATGTCTAGTCAACAACATATAGATAGAATTTTGGCACCCTGCCAGCGAGGGTAACATTAAAACCAACAGTCGAACTTTCTTTCGAATTCGATACCCTACTAAGCCTACGCTACCAAGTCATAACGTAGGTGGACGAGACGTTGAACAAACGTTAACTTGAACAAAAGCTAGTTGGGTAGCCCAAGTTGCATCAGCATAAGCACCATGTATCGACGTCATACCTGCGTCGCACTTGCCGAGACACTCGTCATTCCTCCTATACAATATATAAAGGGTCGTCTCAAAAAAACTCCATAGTTGCCATAGCCATCGCCATCTGTGCTTCTCATAAAAAACGATCGACCATCGCATACCATGACTGCCATCCACGCCCCCTCAAATTCATGGGCCCCCCCTAAAGATCGCCCGTCATTCTACAGGAGCCCAAGCAGCCAAATACGGTCTCAATCCTCGCAAACGTCTGTCTCGAATAAGAATCCGTTTGCAGCCGCGGCCAATCAAGAACGACAACGAGAACGATATTCAGGATCCAGCGACGGCGGCACAGCAACGTCTACGAACCCATTCGCTTCATCCTACGCTCCATCCGCGCCTGAACCTGAACACGAACACGAAATCAAACACGAAACATCGGCTCCGGCTCCTACTACTTCCACTTTGGCTCGAGTTCCCTCCCCCCCAACCAACAATATGCATGCAGACCCAGACCCAGACTCGCCTGCGTCGCCGCCCGTGAGGTCTTTGGATCTGGGGCGTACCAAGAACCCAAATACGAACACGGAAGATTTGGATACGAAGGTCACGACGAAGCCCGGACCTAGAGCCGTATCCGAACCCGGACTCGCAAACGCAGTCGGATGCGCAATCGAGAGCGTCAAGCCGTACATCCCCGAATCGGTCGTGGCGTATCTACGTGAGTACTCGAGTTTCTTCGGTCTGTGTTGATGTTGAAGGCATGCATCAATCGTGTGTAGCTACGAGCGCGGCCGGGAGAAAACGGAAATCGGAAAGGCCGGGTGGGGATGGTGTTTCTGAGAGCGGCATTGGGAAGGTGCGTGAGGCTGAGGGAAGAGGCGTGGAGCGTCGGAAGGGTTCTGTGGATAAGAAACATGCGAAACCATGTTCGTTTTCTTGTTTTATCCTGAGATCTGGGGCTCACTGCTGCGACGATACGCAGCCACTTCGACTTCGCCCAGCATTCTCCAGAACGCGAAGAACTATTTCCGCAGATCTGTCGGCGCATATCTCCGTGAGTATTTTAATCCTCTTCATATAACTAGTGATAAGAACATAATCTCAGCCGGAAGCACCGCACCTCCCAGCCAACTACCCTCCAACGAGACGCCCGGTGGCTCCTCCATCGGCGTGGGCTCCCTCCCGGGAAACAGGTCCGAGACCAGCGTCGCGAAGCTGCCGGAAGAGCGGCGGCTCGAGGGTATGCCGTCGCATGAGAGCGGACAGCAGGTCCTTGGAAAGTCTGGGGGTGTAGGCGCGTTGCCGGGTGGGCCGGATGAGAGCGCGGTCGCGCTGCTTCCTGAGGAACGGGTTTGTCCGCAATGTGGGTTTTTATGGAATGATTCTGGAGTGGATGTTGAATTTTGTCGTAGATGATACGATGGGTAGCGTTGGAGCAGCCAGTGTGGGATTAGGTGTGGTAAGGGATGTGGTCATGTCGCAGGTGAGTCGGTTTGAATCTCTTGCTCTCTAGATATTGACTGAATCCTGTAGGACAATCAGAGATCAGTAAACCAGACGGCGGATGTACGTATACAATACATACCCAACACGAAGTCAGCCTCTGAAAAGACTTCCTATGACAGGGCGACTTTGAAAATCATCCAACACGCCTTGACAAAGAAGATACATGTCTCGATGCAGGTGCTGGCGTTGGAGCGGGGGCCGCGATTGGCGGTGCGACGGCCGCCTCACAGCACGCCTCTTCCAACCAGGCACGTTAACTTCCAAGTTCCTTCTGCGTCACCCCGTGGTCTAACGTCGTGTTATATCTATCAGAAAATTGGTCTCGCGGGATTTGGAGGAACCGCTGCTCACCCGGACGTTCGATTGGATCCAGGCTATCACCCTGCTGAGCTGCATCCCCTCGATCCAAAGTTCAAGCAGGATTCGGTATCCAAAGTACCGTCGGATACGGATACGAACACGAATCGTCGGTCGTCGGCATCGACTCAGAGTGAAGGACATTCAAGCACGAGCAGTGGAGAACGTCGCAAGGTTGGACTCATGAGCAGGATGAAGGGCGAGGTCAAAGTGCTTTCGGGGAAGTTGAGCCACAACGAGAAGAAGATCCAGGCAGGCAGGCAAATGATGGGCAAGTAAGACCGAGGCACGTGGGCACGCGTAAGGAGTTATTTTGAGTTCCGACTAGCTGAAAAATAGTGTGTATCAGTATCCTCAATGTATGTACAAGTTCAAAGGCGCACGGCAGCCATCAGAGATCATTCACCTTTCTCGTCACGGCATCCAATATACGCATATATACATTTCTAACATAAGGTCCCACTTGGATGACGACGGTTATGTTGACCCCGTGCCTGGGATGAGAGGATCGGTTCGACTTGGTTTCTATGCAACCTGTTTGTTACCTCCCTTCAATAGCGTTCGGAGTGAATTGTTGGAATGCTGGTCAGTGATGTTTAGACGACAGGAATGGGAGAGTGTCTGTAGTAGGTCTTGGTTTTTCGGAATTCATTTCTGCACGGATCACTGATTCGTCTATCAGGCAAAGCATCGCCTGCCAGACTTCGAGATGGACATGGGACGGTACACGTATTCACGAACGTTGACTTTATGGTCGTTACTACGTAGTTCATGGAGAGCCTTTAATTGTGCCGAAAAGTGTTCGAGGCAAATGTTGACGCGATCGTGCAGACTCGGATCTACAGATCTGCAGACTATAATTCATACTTATCCAAAAGGAAGATCTGCTCCTAGATACACTCTCTTCCTGTTTTGTGTCTTAGATCTCCAGCCTCCCGGTTTCGTCGCCCAGGAACGGCCCCGACACGGAGGTCACGCGCGACTACGTATCCAAGGTGAGACGAAATTGCCATATCATCCCCATTGCTCAGGTTGCATATTCCTATTATAGCATGTACATCCCACTTACACTCTAACATTTTTTTTGTTTTGATCACGGCAGAATTCCAAGCGCTTCATCAGATTACTTATGCGGATCTCAATTGTCCGTGGTTTTCTTTTTTTGTGTTCTTTTGCTCAATACAAAATATGTATTCCATGACTGTTGTAAGTATGGATACGTCCGCATCATCTTCAAAGGCATGGACGTTCATCAAGAGTGTTCTCACAACAGAATTATGCGCAAACCACAACAGTATGTCCATCTTTTTTTCTGTAATATACTCATGCTGCAGATAGAGCCGGGTGACAATCCTCCGCACTACGCCTAGTTCCCATCTCCTTTTTCTAGTGACATATCAGGGAATTGGCTGGCAACGGTGATGAAGGTTCGGAAGTCCATACCTTGCCATCCACGTTCTCAATGACGCAGCATCTTCTCCGGCTTCTCGACATTGGCTTCACTTTTCTTCTCTACGGGAGAGGCAACGTCAATGCTTGGCTAATGCAATCTGTTCAGTATTTCTTCAAAGTAAGAACTAAGGCCCGGGCAACTCTCACAATTCTCGTCTCGTTCTCGGAGCGCGTTGTCATTTTCGTCGAGGAGATTAAGCTATTTATGTGCTCCAATGCACGAGCGTTTGCTAAGACGGGAAGGAGACGGCGAAGAGAGAACATGGCGGGCAGATCTGTGCTATGAGGGCGGCAGGCCCTGCTTTTATACATAATTGCAGGCACAACTGAAAAACTGCAACGAGCAAACACCGCTATCACGTCAATAGAAAGTATTCACATACAGAATCTACACACGACATAACGAACTCGCCGTCGGGAACGTGTTTCTGTTGGAACTGAGAAGGCATAATGAGTAAGCCGAGGCTGGCCTGGCGTTGGAGAACATGATCGGCCAATTCCAGCGTGTCAAGCACCAGAACCTTCTGCGAGATTATAAATCAGCCATGAACAAAGAAATTTGCAAAAGTCATACCCTGACCAATCGCTGCGTGCATCGGCCCTGACAAGACATCATGTCCAGAGAACATAACCAGGTTGCTACATACAGTCACAAAGGTTATCTGACCCCGACGCTCCACGGGTGATTTATTTTAACAGGTGAGCCAAGCTTCCGGGCACCATGTCAACGGCTCTCCCGACAAATCCGCTCAATTCCAGAAAACACATCCACTACTTGCTAAAAATGGAAAGGATCTAAAACAACCCTCACAGTACTTACTTCTAGATTTGCAAGATTGTATTTACAGTAATCATCTGGGAGCGGGGATTGGTCGAAAGTTTTTATGTCTCAGTCATCGACGATAAATCCTAAATAATGTGGCTTTCACTCCCATCCTGCCCACGCCGTATGGCCCCATGTTTCTTGATCTGGGGTCCGAGGTCCAGCCCGGCCGTCCTCCAAGAACTTTGAAAGTGGATTGGCGATTGAGGGATTGAGGTCCGTGCCGGGAGGAGAACGCCTAGCACGCACCACTGGGGTGATCGGTGGACACGTTGAACGTTTAAACGAGAGGGGTCGACGGTGTGTACTTGCTGAGAACATCTTAGAGGTCATTCCAATGCGTGGGGATTGCCCTACGAACGAAGAAGAATGGAGAGTGAGTACGATCAACGGAGGAGAGATAATCACCATCACGCGAACTTCCATCAAGGTAGGGTTCCTCATAACAAACCTACGCTCCGTGCTTTTTTTCTTTGGAGACCCCCCTACCGATCGCCAGAATCATAAAAACAACCCGTCATCCGCGAAGAACCCCGACAGCTACAAAAGACAATCAACGAATACAAGTTTGCAGCCACATCACTGGTGACGCCCGTTACGCGTCCTGCAGAGAAGCTGAGCAGATGCATCATCTCTTTCATGCTTATTTTCCAAGGTGA